AAGAGGCGGTCGTCTCAGAGGTGGTATGTGCAATTGGAAAACTTCCATTCATTTCGAGTAAGCATCAAACAAGAGGAGAAACATTTTTCCATCCAAAGGGCCAAAGAAGCCTGCTTGTGTGCATTCTCAAAGCTTAATGGGCCGTTTCCAAGGACTAAGTGGTACTCTGAGTGTTTTGACACACGTTGCAGTGTCGGATCAACTCTTTGATATCTGTCAATATTAGGCCACTACACATAGAATCGTGTAAGTGCCTTCATTCTCGTTATTTCTTGGTGTGTTTCGTGAAGTTCTTTTAAGACATACGGTCGCTACCATGGTGGTATGGTCGCTGTAGTTCCCCATAGCAGACATCCATCCTCGAGACAGCTCTGTGTGCCGGATAAAGTAGGGCATTAGTTGTGATTCACAGCTGTCAGACCATCCTTGAGAGATTAGACGCTTGATTTTTGCCAGAAATATATCCCGTTCCTTTTTGACGGATATCGGCATTTGACACCGGATTTTCGCCCAAATATTGCGGCAGATAGACAAGCTCCACAGGTTTAAGTATGTAAGCTGGCAGGAGATTCAACGGTAAATGGCTCAAATTGTCCGCGATTCTATTTGCTTTTCCATGGAAATAGGCGATGTAATTGTACGCGGAGAACAATAAAGCTCGACACTGCATACGAGGTGACTCCATCTGGTTTATACCTTTCTCTCACAAATCAGGATTAACAGAGACTAGTAGTCAGTGAAGATTTCGAATTTTTTTCCTCACAGATACTAGCGGAATTTCTTGACTTCAAAGATAACCGCTAAAACTTCCCTGTCGAGCCGCGCATAATTCTTTTTCGCTGGTGCCAAACTTCTGGACGCAAGAGCTATGGGTCGTTCGGTCATGTCTTCCATTTGCTGTGATAGTACGGCCCCGAGCCCATTGGGTGACGCAACGCAACGAAGAGTGATTGGTTCCTTTGGGTCAAAATGCACTAACAAATTTATTGAGTTCACTGCGTTGTAGAGAGCAGAAGAGAAAACCCTTGTCGGCCCTATCGATTTCGCATCATATTGGGTTTGATGCGTGTCGTTGCGTTACGATGTTCTTCGGCGGTTCGTCGCAATTACAATGACAGCCGCAAGACTTCAGCATTCTCAGCGAATGTTTGTCTAGCAGCCGCTTGAAACTTTCCTCGAATGGCGCGTCTGCAATTTCTTCCGGTAGGTCGTTCCAATCATTAACCATTAGTTGATAGGGTGACGTCCATGCGAATTCTGTGTCTTCTTTGCTTAAACAGCTTCCATATGTGACCTCGTGTGGAACAGTCAGTGTTGGGCCGGAAGAACTGTTGTAACTCACTTCCAAGTTCCCCTCTGAGGACGCCCCTAGTTTAGATGAGATCACCCTGGCGACGGCGGAACTCCATGGAGAACAGATTTAGCTTCTGGAGTCGAATGGGGTACGAGACATTACGAAGCCCCAGAACAGCTTTCGATACACGTCTCTGGACCTTTTCCAGCAGAGCGCATTCAACCTTTGAAAGTGGATGGATAGCAGGTAGACCAAATTCAAGGACTGGACGGAGGTACGAAGTGAAAAAGGGCGAAAAATCTCAGGAGTCATTCGAACGAATGATCTTCTTAATGCACCCACTAGTCTCTTTCCATTGGCCACCTTCTTCAACGTGTCCTGCGTCGTTCTAAGGTCAGAAGTTAAAATAACCCCGAGATTTCTCTCGTGGATGTTATTACTGAGGAGAAACCCACCAATGTGGTATGCACCGTACGGTTCAGTGCTACCCATTGGGAGAACAGCGATTTTGTCTCGGTTTACTGGCAATTCCCACTTGCTTTACCATTCGTGTAGCTGGTCTAAAGCCCCTTGTACTCTCTCCGCATCCTCAAGGCTGGATACCGTTGAGCATACCTTGAGGTCATCGGCGTAGATCAAGCAGTCGACGGATCGTTGATGTAGTGTTTGAAGAGCCGTGCTTCAATCACTGATCCTTGGGGAACGCCACTAGTCATAGGCACAGGAGCAGAGAGGGTTTGGTTAACTTGTACGTGCGTTGTCCTACCTCTTAAAAAGATCGACATTTCAGGAGCGATGATTTCCTGTAATGCCAATTCCCTGGAGTTTGTGTAGCAGCCGTACATGTGGGACTTCATCAAAGGCTTTACTGAAGTCAATGAATATTACGTCAACCTGTTTTCGGACATCTAGGGCTTCTGCCCATGTTTCCCTGGCGATGAGTAAGTTAGAGATGCATGAGCGTGCTTTCCGGAAGCGATGCTGAGCGGATGAGATGATGTTTAGGTTCACACAGTGTAGCTGGAGGGCGCGCTTGACTATTTGTTCTATGATTTTGCATACAACTTCTCAGGCATATTGGCCGGTGGTTCGTTGGGTCTTGTTGGTTTCCCCACTTATATTTGGGCAGGACGGTACCTGCTTTCCAGCCTGTGGGAAGGCGACCGACTTCGAGGGAGTGCCGAAATACTTGACAGAGCGGTGGCGATGTACTCGCTTTGAGGAAGCTGGGATGCAATGCCTTCGGGCGAAGGGAGAAGTTCGGATCCAGTTCGAGGAGTAACTTAGTGACTACTTCGGAGTTAATTTCAACTTGTTTAGCGTTACTGATAGTCAATCTGACGGCATCGTAAGCTTTTTGTTGTTCATTTGGCAACGGCCACTTGGTCTTTTTACGAAGCAAGACTAGCCAAATTGGGTAAGAAACGACTGTAGTGGGTTACCATCCCAAGAAATGATTACAGCTCGTTAATATTTTGGGGTGCTGGGGAATCCAGAATGGATTGAATTTTTTCCCCTGTTTATCCGAACGGAACCCCAGATACTCTACGTTATCACAAAAAGGCCTTCTGAACAAGGCTTTCCAGACCGACGCCACAGATACAGATACGCTGTTCTGGCTTTGTTACTATGTAAACTGACTTCAATCGTTATGCGCCCATCATTACCGATGCAGCTGCTAAGATAGGTGAGGTGATACACTGCCTCAAGTTTCTCGCCATCAAAGGTCAAAGGATCATCAAGTGGCTTGTGATCTTGTAACAGCCCTTTGCACTTTGGAGGTGTGAAGCGCATGAAAAGTGATGGGACCGATCTAAAAGTTATTTCGGTTTGATTGCGCCGCCTCAACATCGTTAAAAATCAGGACAATATCTTATGCATAGTCATGATGGACTAAATTTACACCAGGCAACACCTTAACGGCTGCAACATGAGGGTGCGCAAAGGAACACTCCATGATGCAGTCCACGACGAAGTTAAACAAAAATGAGGGAATTGGACGACCCTAACGGACACCACCTGTTGTCAGAAAGGTATCCGGCAAATCGCTGTAGACGCTGACGCGGCCTGTGGTGTTCGAGTACAGGGCAACTAAAATGTTCACATTTTATGGAGACATCCTTCTGCACAAACGTCGACTGAGTAAAATGCACTCTTCAAGTCCAGAAACCGGCAGCTATTGTTGATTTGTGGTATGTGTGATACTACTATAACACCTGCCGCAGATTGAATATGTGGTCTATAAAGCTCCGTCATGGACGGGAGCCTGTTTGCTCTTCCTCCAATCCGGGACTCGTTTCTCAGTGAGGCGACGAACCAGAATTGAGGCCAGTGATTTTGTCACCATCGGGGATGGGCTAATACCCGTATGCTTAGCACAGTCGATGCCGCTGCTCTTCTTATATATCACCATTATAATTGCTTCACTCCAGTTAGCTGGGATTACCTCTGCGTTCCATACCTGCTCGAACAGGGAGGTCAGTGCTTTGCAAATGATTTCACAACCATCCTTAAATAGTAGCGTTTGTGTTGTGAGTTTCTTTGTCCCTCCCCCTCCTGCCTAGCCTCCCTCTCCAGCCACGATCACATTTTTTAGCGTATTATAAATTTTTGCATAATATAATTTTTTTTTGCAACAGAAACCCGGCTGGTAGCTTTCTGGAACGATGCCCATCCGCTACTGGTGACCTTCCTTGATTGCAGGTTTTCTCACCTTTTCTTGTGTTGCGGCACAATAGCTGAGGTGTTTTCCGTGTATAATAATAATGATAATCATAGCGCGTGTGCGAGGGAATCCGGGTTACTACACGAAAACGATTAAGGGTTGCGATCGCTTTTCGGACTTCAGCCTCCCCTCCGAAGAGGTCCATGAGCAAGTCAAATCCAGTCAAAGTAAGCTTTATCCACCCGTATCTGTGCATTTTCACACCAACACTGCGGATTATTATGCAACATTGCATCACTAAAAAATAACAATTAATAGTAGCAAACGAAATTTGCATCTTTATTCATGCATGCGATCACGAGAGCGGCGCTTCAATCCTATTGGGTCGATTAGTGAGGGTGATAGAAAATGCAGGATACAGTTTTGACACGACGAGGTACTGGAATATAAAGCCCTAGATTTTGTCTGTGTGTACGAAGTAGATATAGTGCTGGATAGGATATCGTGTAAAGGGTGTGAGGAGCCATTTAAAATCGTGGATGCAAAGTTGATGCGTGCATCGAAATGTTTGTTAACAATGAAATCTATTAGCATTTCTTTCTCTAAACCGGAGCAACGAGAAATCAATTTTAGCGGATGGACAATGAGGACACAATATCTTTGAAGAAGTTTTGGGAAAACTATGGGGGAACAGTATAACTATTGAGGGAGAATACATGTAGTCATAAACCGTAGGATTAAAGCACGGGGAACGGAAAGCATTTAAAGTCTGGCATAAAAAGCAAGTCTTCCAACTATTTTAACTGTTTCAAGGACATGTGTAGACCAGGCTAAATCGTGAGATAGAAAAACTCCTCGATATTTTACGGATGGTGTGCGAGGTATGTGTTGATCATCCACAGTCATTGGAGGAGAGATGTACAAGGTACTGCAGTCTGTTGGGATGTAGAAAACAGTACGTAACGTCACAACACTTGGAAAGGTTGAGAAAGAAGGACCGGGAGCTGGGCCAATTCACTAATTTGTCTAACCGTTGAAATCATGGAGATTGCATTTACAGGACTTGACTTGGAAGGTGTGGAGCTACTCCCAGGAGAACGACTTCTCGACTTGGAGTATGCGGACGACATTGCCCTCATCTGTGACAGCTCCCAGACGTGCCAAGCCGCGCTGGACAGATTAGCACTGGCTGTCAGCCGCTTCGGGTTTTGCTTTGCACCATCGAAATGCAAAGCGTTCCTCCAATATTGGCAGGGATCGCCTCCTGCGCTGACCCTTGGTGGGAATCAGCAGAAGTCGTTCGGAAATTCAACTATCTGGGAAGTTGTATCAGCGCCCTTGGGATCGAAGACGAGATCACGAACCGTATAGCGAAGAGGTTAGTTACGTTCGACCATCGGTGCCTTCGCAGTTTGGCTCACATCTGGTGGTAACACCGCGTGAGTAACGAGCGTGTTCGACGCCTTGTTTACGGCACAGGTAAAGGAACTGAACCGCTCAGCACCGTCATTTCACGCACCAGGCTCCGATGACACGGCCACGTGTTGCGCATGCCAGCACATCGACTTCCACGACGTGCGTTGTTTGCTCACCGGGGATGTGGATGGAAGAAGAGGAGGGGTGGCCAAGCGATGACTTAGTCAAGAGAAATGAAGGCCCTCACTTCTGTGCTGGCCTCGGTTGGAGCGTCACGGCTCCCTGGTTGGGGTCCAAAAGACGGTGAACACGTTTGGCTGGATACACTTGCTGACATGGCAAGGAGCCGACCTCAGTGGCATTCTTGCTGTGAGTTTCTTTGTCCCTCCCCATCCCTTTTAGCCTCCCCCTCAACCTGCGATCTAATTTCTTAGCGTAAAACCCAATGATTTTTTTCTTTTTGCCTAGTAGCCGGCTGGTAGCTTACCAGAACAATGCCTATCCGTTGCTGGTAGCTCAGCTGGCATGCAACTTTTGTATTTATTTTCCTTTTCCTTTATGTATTGCGGCACAGTAGCTGAGGTGTTTCCCACCTCTAGCTGACGTATATAATGATGATGGTGAGTCGTCGATGATTGGGGCTATGCATCCCAGGACGACATCATCAGCATATTTACAGCCTATAAAATTTAATGGAATAGGGAGACTTTCAATGTAGTTGGTGAATAGAAAGGGGGACAGAATGGCTCCCTGCAAAACGCCACAATTGGCGGGGAGTACAAAATACCGATTTGTGAAGTAATGACACACTACAATACACGTATATGGAGGGACGCCGTTCTCGAACAAACCGTTGAGCAGTAGTGAGCTGTCAATGCTCCAAAAAGCACTGGTGTAATCAAAAAATAGGAGAAGTACGCCCTTGCATTTTTATCCAACCTAACACAGTGAAATGCGTCAGATAAGAAACGCCATCTAGTGTAGAGCGCTTTGGTTATAGGCAAACTGTTTGACATCATCAGTATGATTGCCTGTGAAAATGCGGGGGATCAGCAGTTTTTCCAGTACCTTTGGCAGCACGGACGTGCACATAATTGACCGACATTTCCGATATCCTGTTTATGCACTGATGTTATTCTGGCTGATTTCTTGATGTCGGGAATGGCACCAGTCTTTAAGTGCCGATTCAAGACTTCTGTTACAGATGTTGTTAAAACATTTGCGCATTCTTTCAGAGCGATTGTTGATAGAGCATCCAGTCCACTAGTCTTGTTTGCGTTCAGCCTGTTGAGCTCCCCTTAAATGTTTGCGGAAGCAGATAAAGAAGGATTCTCAGTAATGGTAACAGAAGGCAAAGGGAGTGTGTTAGTTGGTGAAAAGCTGAATCCAGCGTTGAGTTTTATCTGCATCCTCATTGATAAGTGCGCTGGAAGAATTCTTTCCGGAGTGTTGTCCTCGACGCAACTGTGGTTGCCGAAAACGGTCTAAATGTAAAGTGCGTTTAATCTTTTCACTTTACTTTTTATAGCTATGGACACGTTTAACAGGGACAGTTAGCCTGTGGCTATAAGTCTGTTCTTTATTCCTCCTCAGTTACTTGACCAATTGAGATGAAAATCTGTCGTTTCATAAATAATTTGTCTCAATGGAACAATATAGATCAAAACAGGTTTAAATAGTCTGTAAGATGCTCGCATCGCTCTGACAGGTCATCATTTTCGAATATTGAAAAATCAGTTAACGACGGCATTGATTTGAGTTTTTCGGTGTTATCTGCTGAGTAGTTCCGTCGTTTAACAGTTCAGTCAGTGCAACATAGCTGGCCTTACTGTATAGATTGGGGGATAGCTTTATTACGCAATGGTCGGAATTACCAAGAGGTGCACACTTTTACGTAGAGAATAGTTCGGGTTTGTTAGTAAAAATACTAAATCTAAATGCGCCTCGAGTCCGGTGAGGAATTTCACCAACTTGGCCAAACCCATGGTGTTGATGAAAATTGTGTCACTTCTATTGAAGTCTCCGTCGAGAACACAGATGGAACACTCTAATTTTTGTTGCAAAATTTTGCAACTCGAACAACATCATGTCCGGAGCTACGTACACATTCCCAACAAAGAGAGTTAGAAAACCGCTCAGAAACTGGTTTACACTCCAATAAGTGACAGCCTATTGAAGTCGTTGAGTACTCCGAGAATTTGGAAACGGATTTACACCAATATCTGTTAAAGTAAGTGATGACTCCTCCACGACGTTTGGGGTCTCTTGGGCGATTGGATCTAATGTGGTGGTAACCATTGATATTAACGACTTCATCATCAATGTCAGAATGCAATCAAGTCTCCTGCAATATCCCTATATCAGCATTTATGGATTCCCCTCGCTGTAAAATGTTTGCTAGATCATCATTTTCCCGAGAAGCGATCGTACATTGCTGGATAGCATCAGCGGAATTTGCGCCTTTTTAACAAGACAGTGTTTGAGTCCTACTTGCCATCCAGCGCGATGCTTTTGCTTTTTTCCTAAGCCTTTCTTGATAATTCTTCTGAAAGTGTTTCTGGTCTTGTGTCCGAATTCAACAGGAGGTGATTTTCGTACATTGTCTCGAAGGTAACTCAAATCCTCAACCGAGTATGATAACATTGGCAACGGTGAAATTGATTCAGTTAAACAAAGAGTAAGGTATTTCCTGTAAACACAAAGAATCTGCAGTGAGTATTATAAAACAATATTCCGATGGTAACAGCAACGGCCTAATTTGAAGGCCCCACCCTATCTGGAGGACAACTGAACTGCTCTCGAAAGTTCTCAGCCCAACGAGCCATACGACGCTCCTTATTGTGAATCATGGCACTTACGCCATCTCTGATTGTCTCGCTAAAGCCTGGTTTTCTGGAAACAGTGGTGCGGATCATTTGAAATTGTTTGCAACAATTGCCTACTGCTTCAGCCTCCTCCATTTAGTGAGCCGGTCGAGAGAAATGAAAATCCTCACTTCGAAACTGCCGTCGGTTGATGACTCCCGACTGCCTGGCTGGAGTCCTAAGAACGATGAACACGTTTGATTGGACACACTTGCTGATATGACGAAGAGCCAGCTCGATTGACGTTCGCGTTGTTTTTCTGTCCATCCCCTCCCTTTTAGATCCCCCCTTCAATCCCGATCTCACACAAACCGCATAATATAATATTTAACACCATATTACTTGCCTGGAATCTTTTTTATAGTAATTTTTTTAGTCTCTTATTTTTTGTTATGCGGCACTTTGGCTGAGGTGCCTTTCTCATCCTCAGCTAACGTGTACTGATGACAATTTCTTGAGACATACTGGTCCATCAGGTTTTCTTGTCAGCACACAAGCTCCGCTTTAGTTTGAGTCTAATAGTCCGCCTAGTTACATTGTGCTCAGAATCAGCCAGGAGTTTTCTTTTGGCAAGAATTGTTAGATTCTTCACCGGCTAATGATCGCCCTGCTCCCTGAGCTGTCTCTTTGGATCCGCCCTCTCGCTTATAAGTCGAACGTGAGATCTGACTGCTGAAGTTGAGTAAAGCCGCGGGACCAGATGATCTACAAATGACCCTCCTCAAATTCTGGTGCCCTGCTCTTATTGAAGATTTACATGAATTACTGGTGAAACTGGGATCATGAAACCGTCCCGATTGAATGGAACTTCTCCGTTATTGTCCCGATCTTCAAGGGATTCTCCCTTTCGGAATGCGACAACCATAGGGGAATCAATCTAATCTCCATCGCCTTCAAATTGCTTGCCCTTTTCAAAGATTGACTATCACTCGTGTGGGCCAGATTGGTGAGAGCAAGCCGGGTTTCATCGAGGTCAGGGCCGCATCAATCACATATTCACCTTGCATTAGTTGTTGGAGCACCGCCACATATACTGGCGGCCCACCGTAATCGTGTTCCTCGACGTCAAAGATGCCTTCGATTCAATTGATCGATGTGTCCTTTGAGACTGTTTACTCAGGAAATGTGTGCCCGAGAAATATATAAATGTTATTCGAGTGCTTTACGCGCGTATCTTACGGTAAGCTGTCGTCCCCCTTCAATATTTCTCACGATGTAAGGCAAGTCATCTTTCCTCTTCAACTTAACTGTTGATGAGGTCATTGAGATTGCGTTTACAGGGCACGACTTAAGCTGTGGAACTGCTCCCAGATAAAGGACTTCTTGATTCGGAGTATGCTGATGACATTGCCCTTATCTGCGACAGCTCACAAACGTGCCAAACAGCATTAGACAGATTAGCAGTGGCTGTCAGCTGTTTCGGATTAGGCTTTGCTCACTCGGAGTGTAAAGTTTTATTCTAAGACTTGCAGGGACTACCTTTGGGGATCAGTTAAAAGTCGTTCAAAGATTCAACTATCTCGGCAGTTGTATCAACGCCGTTGGAATTGAAGACGAGATCACAAACCGTGTAGCAAAAGCTCGAAGCGCTTTTGCTAACCTCCGTCGCCTATGGCGCCGGCGCGACATCACTCTCCCTGCAGCCGTACGTTCGACTTCGCTATACGATTGTGAAACCTGGCCCATTAAAGAGTCTAGTTGCGTTCGATCACCGGTGGCTTCTCAGTTTGAATCATATTTGGTGAGGACACCGTGTGAGCCGTGAGTGTGTTCGACGCCTTGATTATGGTCCAGGAAGAAGAAGTGAACCACTCGGTGACGTGCGTTCTTTCAGCGCCTGGGCTGTGGATGAAAAAAGAGAAGAGGTGGCCAAGCGATGACTTGGTCGAAGAACAAAGGCCCTTAGTTTGAAATTCGCCTTGCTTGGAGCGTCTCGGCTCCCTGGTTTGGGTCCGAAAGACGATGAACACATTTGACTGGATACACTCGCTGATATGGCTAGGAGCCGACCTCAGTGGCGTTCGTGCTGTGAGTTTCTTTGTCCCACCCCATCCAACCACGATTTCATTATTTAGCCTTATATAATTTTACAATAACTTTTTTCGCTGCATAGTAGCCGGCCGGTAGCTTGCCGAGACGATGCCCATCCGTTACCGGTAGCTCAGCTAGCTTGTACCTGTTGAATTTCCCCTTTTTTTTCTTTCATGTGTTGCGGCACAGTAGCCGAGATGTTTCCCGCCTTTAGCTGACGTGTACAATGATGATGATCATTCCTGTACCCGTTCCGCTGTCATCCCAAGATTTTTTGTTTCATCATCGGTTGAGCCTAGTAATCGGTTCGTTTTTTTCTACTTTGTGGATTACAGGTTTTGATGGCAACCAACCGGCCGGACACTCTGGATCCTGCACTTGTGCGACCAGGACGTTTGGATCGCAAGGTGGAGTTCAGCCTGCCAGATTTGGAGGGCCGAACTCATATCTTCAAAATCCACGCTAGGTCCATGTCGGTCGAGAAGGATATCCGGTATGAGCTTCTGGCGCGGCTGTGTCCAAACAGCACAGGTGGGTTCCCCTTATGCAACTCATGTTCACGTATTAATTATTAACACATTGCTTTTTTAATTCATTCTAGGAAATCTTATTGAGGTATGCACTAAAAGGCCGCATTCGTGGACGTTCGAGTTAGGTTTCAATTTGTCCACATTTGAACTGATCTCAGAAGTGCAAGCTAAATCTGTTCCTTCGTCCCTATAATTTCGCTGAATTCATCTTCTAACCTTAATTTGGTGTCTTAACATGACTAAGAACAGAGGATTTAACTTGGGTCATCCCGTGCGGATGCTTCGTTAGTAGAGTGACCGTAGCTAATGATCCTCCGGTTCAATACGATTGTCAGCCCATAAAACGACTTTCTTACTGTCCTAATGAATCCATTCTCTCATATAGCCATAAGTAGGTGACGGCAGGTCAGTCGATTACACCACCTACGAGCTGTTACAGAGTGAATGATTATGTACTGCCTGTAGGTTTCGTGATGGCGATGCTGTGGTTTGCGTGTTACCGTTACGTTAACCTAGCAGCTGTAAGGATCACAAGCCCGCCTTGTAATCTGAGGACGCGGGTTCGAGCCTGCATATGGACCGAGTGGCACTCGCAGTATCATTAGCCCACGTGCGACTGGTGGTGGTTGCGCAGCAGCGAAGCGTCGATACTGCGGATGTCTTTTTAGGTTAATCTTAACGATTCGGAACCAACAATAACGATGGCGGCTAGGAAACGCAATCCTTTGTAAGGTGTGATCGTTATACTCACAAAGAGGTTAGGAAGTTTCGCGAAATCAAGTAATTTACGCTAACAAGTGTGACGGTGCTTGAGTCTTCACGAAGGGTGATATGCTGTTCCTGAAGCGGAGGTGCTTTTAACCTGGTCCGGTAATCTATAAAGCAGTGGGTGGATTTAGCTAGAATTTCATGATTGGTTGAAATATGTGCTGTCTGCAATTAAGATTTAGTACCTCTATCTGACAGATCTCTTGTTTTGACCAATTATATCACCGTAGTGTTTTTTGCGTGTCAGGGGTCCTTGGACGTTTCGTATCAAGCCGAATATAGTGAGGAGTAAAAGAGACACGGACAGTAGGAAATTAACTCTTGGCAGTAAACTTCAGTTAGTGGAGAGGATGATGGACAAGGCAAAAAGTGAAGCAATCACCCCAGTTAAAGCAACATCGAATATAGAACTTTGTGTACAGCTCAAAGTGCGATATATCTTCCTTTTCCGATTTCCCTGTTAGTATGTAGATGTGTTAATAGAAGCATGTGGCCAAGCACAGTCGAATAACGTTGAGTAAAATGGTTAAAAGTGAAGCGATTGAATCGGCTTCGGCCACTCCGTTTCCGCTCGGATGTGAGATTGAAAGGTAGTATGAAGCGGGCGGCTAAATCACGCGGTGTAAATGGCTTACAAGATATTCGACATGCTTTTATCCGCTGCTAAAGTTTCAAGGAACACAGGTGGAGGTTTTTCTCCACTACGTGCATCGCCTAACTAGAGTGCCTTGTTCCCCCTCCCCCCTTATTTCTTTCGTGGCCGCATTCACTAAAAAAGTGAGAGCAACTTCAGTTGACCAAATAGAGGCTTCCCACGTATTGCCAGGGAGCGAAATAATGATATTAGACCCCCAGCTCACACCACCTATGATCATTGCTCCAGCTAGCGAAAGAAAACCGAGTCCAAGACGATTGTTCATGAGTGCTTTACTCACGTAGCTTTGTTGCCTTCCGTTTTGTGACATATTCGGCCTTGGAGTGAATCGCTCGCAATTCATTCTTACACTAACAACCGACAGCATCCAAATAAAGGCTGCTTTTGCTTTGCATATTCGCAGTAAGGCACGTGCAGGCTTGTGTTGTACAACTTGTTATAAATATGTACTGATTTTGCCAATACGTTTTTGTGCGCAGACCGTAATTCAAGTTTTTCGATCCGTTGACATTATAGGTGCTGAAATTCGCAGCGTCTGTACGGAAGCTGGTATGTATGCTATACGAGCAAGGCGCAAGATGGCCACTGAGAAGGACTTCCTCGAGGCAGTTAACAAAGTCATCAAGTCGTACGCCAAGTTCAGCGCGACCCCGCGATATATGACCTACAACTGAATCAAACTAACATATCGGACATTGCTCCAAACAACTTCATTTTTCATCCTACGTTGTATCAATTTTATCATATATTTGCGGGTGCTGACACGCTTGATTGTGTCAGATCACTCCCAGCATGTTTATGAGGGGACATTTTCATTCATGCCAATACACAATGCTGCGACAGGATGCCGCAAAAAATGCCATCCAGAACGTTTTTCTATGCTTCCAGTGGACAAGCATGTGCTACTGATCCAGCTAGAGAGCCGCATGCGTTCAATCAACCAAAGCCAAACGCTCACAAGCAGGGTGCCACCTGAGTAGTACTGGCTCATAGATTGGCATGTGCTCCACGAACCACCGGTTCGAACTCCTGCAAGACATCAGCGGTATGACGTATCGACGCTTTGTTGCTCTGCAACCACCACTAGTCGCGTGTTGGCTAAGGGTACTGCGAGAGTCACCTGGTTCCGTACGCAGGCTGGAACTCGCGACCTCTGGGTTGTCTCTTCAGCCACAGACCGGCTCGTAAGTGCTGTTCACGTTGCGGTATCCCGATCTGCATGCAACTGCTGGTGGTTGCGCGGCACCTTGGTCCGGGCGTACCACTGATAGCACCTGTACACCCCTAAACTCGGTTGCCGCCCCGAATGGATTGCTTCGTAGCGTTCAATTTATCGGACCGTTCGAAACGGCATTTTATGAGATAAGCGTTTAACACTTTAAGGTTTCGTTTTCAAACTGGATAAAGCAGGGACTCGTGCCTCTTTCATTCAGCCAATGAATCCGTTAGCTTGACTCTTGCGCTCACCTCACCGCATTGTCGTCGGGGCCAGAAGGGCCTCTTTTGGGTTCAACAAGTTCAATTACCTTTAGGATATCCACCGTTATTTGATCCGATAACGTGTGGTGTTGCAGAGGAATATTCTCGCTGTGTACAGCAGCAGAAATTCTCTTCTCCCGAAACCGATATCCTAAGAGGTAGACTAACCTGTCCTTAGTCGGTAGTCTATCAGTCAAGGGAATCGATCGCACATTTCCCAACAAGAGTCAAACGAAGTTAACAGCGGACTATGGCTAAGGGTGAAATCATACCACTTGTAGGTCGTAACTATGTGATCCTGTGTAACTGAATCCCTGATTAGCTACCGAAGAATGCCGTGTCATATCGGCATCTGTTGTTTTTGAAGGTAATGATTCATAGAAACAGCCGATGTTCAGTACTTAACCGCAACAAACACTCGGGATTAAACCCGAGGTTCTCACCCAACTGGCTTTCCGAAGAGCCTAGGTGACGTACCTGCCTGTTCGTTCCCATTCAACTAAAGCTATACCCGTACAGCAACTTCGTGGTAGAAGGTACCTTGGACCAACAGAATTGGAGTCGGCTACGGCATAGATGGTAATCACGAGCAAATCGCCCAGCGCCATCCGTTAGTAGGTGTTGTCGAACATACAGACGACTGTTCATGAGAATTTGACGAAAACTGTGGATTCGACCCCCACACAGTCGTGATGCGTGTTACTAAATCAACGCCGTAGCAAAGCTGCTGGGACTGACAAGCCTGGATTAAGATGAACTAGACTTGGCACTTCGTTACGTTGCTTTAAAGCACGAAGTCAAACGTGCATCTGCCTCTTTGACCGAATCCTAATGAAAACATTTTGGGAACCGTCTAACGTCCTTGCGGTGGATTGTGCTGTAACGCGCATTAAGAGCCGCGTATTTTTGGCATAACCTCCCAAATTGCAACTTGTATAAACCATCCGTCATACTTAAGCACTAATTTGGAGAATTGGTTTCATACTGTTTCGAAACAACCAAAGAACTGAGCGAGTAATATAAACTCGGTGTTTCGAAACATGACATCTATAACGATGCAGGGAAAGCTTATTACCAGACGGTGTTGACTACGCCATTGGTTGCACAGTTGTGCCCCCATATCACATGAGCACTGCTACATATACGCTGAACTAAATCCGATCCATCGGTCAAATCGAGACCCACCGTCGATGCGATTCGCTTTTCATCTTAAGGATGAGAGCTGCTCGTATAAGTCTTCCTAAACGATATCCTGGCAACAATCTAACGGTGCATTATACCGAAATTACAAAGGTGCATTGTCTTCGACAACTCTTCATTAGTACAGACATACTGAAGCTGACTCAGACGTCACAGGTGCCGTGGACCGTCAGCTCGGAATCACCGGAAACGTGAGGCTTTTGGGCTCCGTGATTAGATCCATCTGGTGAGAGCAGATATGTTAAGATGCCGCCGTGTTGCACGCGTTTCGGAAGTACAATATAGCAACTCTGAATCAGCGTAAATTCAAGTCAGGTGCCATATACCTACACTTCTGACAGTGTGAGGATGCTGAAAAATCCCGTGTGAAGTCTTATTCTAGGTTTGCAGGATAATTTGGCTTCGATATCTCGAAATAGGCTTGCGACCAATCGAAAATTCTCTGTAGGTTGTTTTGTAATGTCGGAGCTATTAATCTGGCCTGAAGAAGAGTGAACCGTCGCCGCAGTACAAGAATATACAGAACCAACATGAGTTCTATGCTGTTGTGACAAATGAAGGTGATTGCTAGCACGAGAGTGTTAGTGAGAAATACCGGAAATGAGATCTTTTAGTCAGAACATGCTTTCTGATTGCCAATCATCCATGCTTTACAGGACGGTACTCATCCTTAGGCTTGGACTGAAATTTCTACTCTAAAGACTGCTAACCAAAGTGGGATTTTTTGGAAGACTTAGGATCCTAATGTGGTCTGAGCCCTGTGAAGGTGTGCTTGAGACTGGTTAAACAAGACATTGAAATAGAAATATTCTGGTGTTGCTCATCCAACCACTGGCACCCCATGACCGCGGTTTCGTCCTGGTTTGGACTCATCGGATGGAAACAGCCTGAGCTGGGGTGGAAATCAGAGCCTAATGGTTCACGACTGACGTCATAAACACTATGCCACTGAGATCCGCAAGTAACACTTGGTACAGCGGGAATGAATTCAAAGTTGGACTCGGGGAATCCGCTGTGTGGTTGGGTTGCTACAATCAACCTCTATAGATCCTTGTACCAAGCGTTGCTCGTGGATCTCAGTGGCATAGTGTTTATGGCGTCAGCCGTGAACCATTAGGCTCTGATTTCCACCCCAGCTCAGGCTGTTTCCATCCGATGAGTCCAAACCAGGACGAAACCGCGGTCATGGGGTGCCAGCGATTGGATGAGCAACACCGAAATACTTCAATTTCAATGTCTTGTTTAACCAGTCTCAAGCACACCTTCACAGGGCTCAGACCACATTAGGATCCTAAGTCTTCCAAAAAATCCCACTTTGGTTAGCAGTCTTTAGAGTAGAAATTTCAGTCCAAGCCTAAGGATGAGTACCGTCCTGTAAAGCATGGATGATTGGCAATCAGAAAGCATGTTCTGACTAAAAGATCTCATTTCCGGTATTTCTCACTAACACTCTCGTGCTAGCAATCACCTTCATTTGTCACAACAGCATAGAACTCATGTTGGTTCTGTATATTCTTGTACTGCGGCGACGGTTCACTCTTCTTCAGGCCAGATTAATAGCTCCGACATTACAAAACAACCTACAGAGAATTTTCGATTGGTCGCAAGCCTATTTCGAGATATCGAAGCCAAATTATCCTGCAAACCTAGAATAAGACTTCACACGGGATTTTTCAGCATCCTCACACTGTCAGAAGTGTAGGTATATGGCACCTGACTTGAATTTACGCTGATTCAGAGTTGCTATATTGTACTTCCGAAACGCGTGCAACACGGCGGCATCTTAACATATCTGCTCTCACCAGATGGATCTAATCACGGAGCCCAAAAGCCTCACGTTTCCGGTGATTCCGAGCTGACGGTCCACGGCACCTGTGACGTCTGAGTCAGCTTCGGTATGTCTGTACTAATGAAGAGTTGTCGAAGACAATGCACCTTTGTAATTTCGGTATAATGCACCGTTAGATTGTTGCCAGGATATCGTTTAGGAAGACTTATACGAGCAGCTCTCATCCTTAGGATGAAAAGCGAATCGCATCGACGGTGGGTCTCGATTTGACCGATGGATCGGATTTAGTTCAGCGTATATGTAGCAGTGCTCATGTGATATGGGGGCACAACTGTGCAACCAATGCCGTAGTCAACACCGTCTGGTAATAAGCTTTCCCTGCATCGTTATAGATGTCATGTTTCGAAACACCGAGTTTACATTACTCGCTCAGTTCCTTGGTTGTTTCGAAACAGTATGAAACCAATTCTCCAAATTAGTGCTTAAGTATGACGAATGGTTTATACAAGTTGCAATTTGGGAGGTTATGCCAAAAATACGCGGCTCTTAATGCGCGTTACAGCACAATCCACCGCAAGGACGTTAGACGGTTCCCAAAATGTTTTCATTAGGATTCGGTCAAAGAGGCAGATGCACGTCTGACTTCGTGCTTTAAAGCAACGTAGCGAAGTGCCAAGTCTAGTTCATCTTAATCCAGGCTTGTCAGTCCCAGCAGCTTTGCTACGGCGTTGATTTAGTAACACGCATCACGACTGTGTGGGGGTCGAATCCACAGTTTTCGTCAAATTCTCATGAACAGTCGTCTGTATGTTCGACAACACCTACTAACGGATGGCGCTGGGCGATTTGCTCGTGATTACCATCTATGCCGTAGCCGACTCCAATTCTGTTGGTCCAAGGTACCTTCTACCACGAAGTTGCTGTACGGGTATAGCTTTAGTTGAATGGGAACGAACAGGCAGGTACGTCACCTAGGCTCTTCGGAAAGCCAGTTGGGTGAGAACCTCGGGTTTAATCCCGAGTGTTTGTTGCGGTTAAGTACTGAACATCGGCTGTTTCTATGAATCATTACCTTCAAAAACAACAGATGCCGATATGACACGGCATTCTTCGGTAGCTAATCAGGGATTCAGTTACACAGGATCACATAGTTACGACCTACAAGTGGTATGATTTCACCCTTAGCCATAGTCCGCTGTTAACTTCGTTTGACTCTTGTTGGGAAATGTGCGATCGATTCCCTTGACTGATAGACTACCGACTAAGGACAGGTTAGTCTACCTCTTAGGATATCGGTTTCGGGAGAAGAGAATTTCTGCTGCTGTACACAGCGAGAATATTCCTCTGCAACACCACACGTTATCGGATCAAATAACGGTGGATATCCTAAAGGTAATTGAACTTGTTGAACCCAAAAGAGGCCCTTCTGGCCCCGACGACAATGCGGTGAGGTGAGCGCAAGAGTCAAGCTAACGGATTCATTGGCTGAATGAAAGAGGCACGAGTCCCTGCTTTATCCAGTTTGAAAACGAAACCTCAAAGTGTTAAACGCTTATCTCATAAAATGCCGTTTCGAACGGTCCGATAAATTGAACGCTACGAAGCAATCCATTCGGGGCGGCAACCGAGTTTAGGGGTGTACAGGTGCTATCAGTGGTACGCCCGGACCAAGGTGCCGCGCAACCACCAGCAGTTGCATGCAGATCGGGATACCGCAAGGTGAACAGCACTTACGAGCCGGTCTGTGGCTGAAGAGACAACCCAGAGGTCGCGAGTTCCAGCCTGCGTACGGAACCAGGTGACTCTCGCAGTACCCTTAGCCAACACGCGACTAGTGGTGGTTGCAGAGCAACAAAGCGTCGATACGTCATACCGCTGATGTCTTGCAGGAGTTCGAACCGGTGGTTCGTGGAGCACATGCCAATCTATGAGCCAGTACTACTCAGGTGGCACCCTGCTTGTGAGCGTTTGGCTTTGGTTGATTGAACGCATGCGGCTCTCTAGCTGGATCAGTAGCACATGCTTGTCCACTGGAAGCATAGAAAAACGTTCTGGATGGCATTTTTTGCGGCATCCTGTCGCAGCATTGTGTATTGGCATGAATGAAAATGTCCCCTCATAAACATGCTGGGAGTGATCTGACACAATCAAGCGTGTCAGCACCCGCAAATATATGATAAAATTGATACAACGTAGGATGAAAAATGAAGTTGTTTGGAGCAATGTCCGATATGTTAGTTTGATTCAGTTGTAGGTCATATATCGCGGGGGTCGCGCTGAACTTGGCGTACGACTTGATGACTTTGTTAACTGCCTCGAGGAAGTCCTTCTCAGTGGCCATCTTGCGCCTTGCTCGTATAGCATACATACCAGCTTCCGTACAGACGCTGCGAATTTCAGCACCTATAATGTCAACGGATCGAAAAACTTGAATTACGGTCTGCGCACAAAAACGTATTGGCAAAATCAGTACATATTTATAACAAGTTGTACAACACAAGCCTGCACGTGCCTTACTGCGAATATGCAAAGCAAAAGCAGCCTTTATTTGGATGCTGTCGGTTGTTAGTGTAAGAATGAATTGCGAGCGATTCACTCCAAGGCCGAATATGTCACAAAACGGAAGGCAACAAAGCTACGTGAGTAAAGCACTCATGAACAATCGTCTTGGACTCGGTTTTCTTTCGCTAGCTGGAGCAATGATCATAGGTGGTGTGAGCTGGGGGTCTAATATCATTATTTCGCTCCCTGGCAATACGTGGGAAGCCTCTATTTGGTCAACTGAAGTTGCTCTCACTTTTTTAGTGAATGCGGCCACGAAAGAAATAAGGGGGGAGGGGGAACAAGGCACTCGAGTTAGGCGGTGCACGTAGTGGAGAAAAACCTCCACCTGTGTTCCTTGAAACTTTAGCAGCGGATAAAAGCATGTCGAATATCTTGTAAGCCATTTACGCCGCGTGATTTAGCCGCCCGCTTCATACTACCTTTCAATCTCACATCCGAGCGGAAACGGAGTGGCCGAAGCCGATTAAATCGCTTCACTTTTAACCATTTTACTCAACGTTATTCGACTGTGCTTGGCCACATGCTTCTATTAACACATCTACATACTAACAGGGAAATCGGAAAAGGAAGATATATCGCACTTTGAGCTGTACACAAAGTTCTATATTCGATGTTGCTTTAACTGGGGTGATTGCTTCACTTTTTGCCTTGTCCATCATCCTCTCCACTAACTGAAGTTTACTGCCAAGAGTTAATTTCCTACTGTCCGTGTCTCTTTTACTCCTCACTATATTCGGCTTGATACGAAACGTCCAAGGGACCCCTGACACGCAAAAAACACTACGGTGATATAATTGTTCAAAACAAGAGATCTGTCAGATAGAGGTACTAAATCTTAATTGCAGACAGCACATATTTCAACCAATCATGAAATTCTAGCTAAATCCACCCACTGCTTTATAGATTACCGGACCAGGTTAAAAGCACCTCCGCTTCAGGAACAGCATATCACCCTTCGTGAAGACTCAAGCACCGTCACACTTGTTAGCGTAAATTACTTGATTTCGCGAAACTTCCTAACCTCTTTGTGAGTATAACGATCACACCTTACAAAGGATTGCGTTTTCTAGCCGCCATCGTTATTGTTGGTTCCGAATCGTTAAGATTAACCTAAAAAGACATCCGCAGTATCGACGCTTCGCTGCTGCGCAACCACTACCAGTTGCACGTGGGCTAACGGTACTGCGAGGGTCACCCGGTCCTCATACGCAGGCTCGAACCCGCGCCCTCAGCTTACAAGGCGGGCTTGTGATCCTTACAGCTGCTAGGTTAACGTAACGGTAACACGCAAACCACAGCATCACCATCATGAAACCTACAGGCAGTACATAATCATTCACTCTGTAACAGCTCGTAGGTGGTGTAATCGACTGACCTGCCGTCACCTACTTATGGCTATATGAGAGAATGGATTCATTAGGACAGTAAGAAAGTCGTTTTATGGGCTGACAATCGTATTGAACCGGAGGATCATTAGCTACGGTCACTCTACTAACGAAGCATCCGCACGGGATGACCCAAGTTAAATCCTCTGTTCTTAGTCATGTTAAGACACCAAATTAAGGTTAGAAGATGAATTCAGCGAAATTATAGGGACGAAGGAACAGATTTAGCTTGCACTTCTGAGATCAGTTCAAATGTGGACAAATTGAAACCTAACTCGAACGTCCACGAATGCGGCCTTTTAGTGCATACCTCAATAAGATTTCCTAGAATGAATTAAAGAAGCAATGTGTTAATAATTAATACGTGAACATGAGTTGCATAAGGGGAACCCACCTGTGCTGTTTGGACACAGCCGCGCCAGAAGCTCATATCGGATATCCTTCTCGACCGACATGGACCTAGCGTGGATTTTGAAGATATGAGTTCGGCCCTCCAAATCTGGCAGGCTGAACTCCACCTTGCGATCCAAACGTCCTGGTCGCACAAGTGCAGGATCCAGAGTGTCCGGCCGGTTGGTTGCCATCAAAACCTGTAATCCACAAAGTAGAAAAAAACGAACCGATTACTAGGCTCAACCGATGATGAAACAAAAAATCTTGGGATGGCAGTGGAACGGGTACAGGAATGATCATAATCATTTCACATGTCAGCTAAAGGTGGGAGAGATCTCGGCTACTGTGCCGCAATACATAAAAGAAAAAAAGGGGGAAATTCAACAGGTACAAACCAGCTGAGCTACCGGTAGCCGATGGGCATCGTTTCGGTAAGCTACCGGCCGGCTACTATGCAGCGAAAGAAGTTACTGCAAAATTATATTAGGCTAAATAGTGAGATCGTGGTTGGATGGGGTGGGACAAAGAAACTCACAGCACGAACGCCACCGAGGTCGGCTCCTAGTCATATCAGCGAGTGTATCCAGTCAAATGTGTTCATCGTCTTTCGGACCACAACCACGGAGCCGAGACGCTCCAACCAAGGCGAAATTCAAACTAAGGGCCTTTATTCTTCGACCAAGTCATCGCTTGGCCACCTCTTGTCTTTTTTCATCCACAGCCCAGGCGCTCAAAGAACGCACGTCACCGTGTGATTCACTTCTTCTTCCTGGACCATAATCAAGGCGTCGAACACACTCACGGCTCACATTGGTGTCCTCACCAGATATGATTCAGACTGCGAAGCCACCGGTGGTCGAACGCAACTAGACTCTTTAATGGGCCAGGTTTCACAACCGTACAGCAAAGTCGAACGTACGGCTGTAGGGAGAGAGTGATGTCGCGCCGGCGCCATAGGCGACGGAGGTTAGCAAAAGCGCCTCGAGCTTTTGCTACAAGGTTTGTGATCTCGTCTTCAATTCCAACGACGCTGATACAACTGCCGAGATAGTTGAATCTTTGAACGACTTCTAACTGATCCCCAAAGGTAGTCCCTGCACGTCTTAGAATAAAACTTTACACTCCGAGGGGGCAAAGCCTAGTCCGAAACGGCTGACAGCCAGTTCTAACCTGTCTAATGCTGTTTGGCACGTTTGTGAGCTGTCGCAGATAAGGGCAATGTCATCAGCATACTCCGAATCAAGAAGTCCTTTATCTGGGAGCAGTTCCACAGCTTAAGTCGTGCCCTGTAAACGCAATCTCAATGACCTCATCAACAGTTAAGTTGAAGAGGAAAGATGACTTGCCTTACATCGTGAGAAATATTGAAGGGGGACGACAGCTTACCGTAAGATACGCGCGTAAAGCACTCGAATAACATTTATATATTTCTCGGGCACACATTTCCTGAGTAAACAGTCTCAAAGGACACATCGATCAATTGAATCTAAGGCATCTTTGACGTCGAGGAACACGATTACGGTGGGCCGCCAGTATATGTGGCGGTGCTCCAACAACTAATGCAAGGTGAATATGTGATTGATGCGGCCCTGACCTCGATGAAACCCGGCTTGCTCTCACCAATCTGGCCCACACGAGTGATAGTCAATCTTTGAAAAGGGCAAGCAATTTGAAGGCGATGGAGATTAGATTGATTCCCCTATGGTTGTCGCATTCCGAAAGGGAGAATCCCTTGAAGATCGGGACAATAACGGAGAAGTTCCATTCAATCGGGACGGTTTCATGATCCCAGTTTCACCAGTAATTCATGTAAATCTTCAATAAGAGCAGGGCACCAGAATTTGAGGAGGGTCATTTGTAGATCATCTGGTCCCGCGGCTTTACTCAACTTCAGCAGTCAGATCTCACGTTCGACTTATAAGCGAGAGGGCGGATCCAAAGAGACAGCTCAGGGAGCAGGGCGATCATTAGCCGGTGAAGAATCTAACAATTCTTGCCAAAAGAAAACTCCTGGCTGATTCTGAGCACAATGTAACTAGGCGGACTATTAGACTCAAACTAAAGCGGAGCTTGTGTGCTGACAAGAAAACCTGATGGACCAGTATGTCTCAAGAAATTGTCATCAGTACACGTTAGCTGAGGATGAGAAAGGCACCTCAGCCAAAGTGCCGCATAACAAAAAATAAGAGACTAAAAAAATTACTATAAAAAAGATTCCAGGCAAGTAATATGGTGTTAAATATTATATTATGCGGTTTGTGTGAGATCGGGATTGAAGGGGGGATCTAAAAGGGAGGGGATGGACAGAAAAACAACGCGAACGTCAATCGAGCTGGCTCTTCGTCATATCAGCAAGTGTGTCCAATCAAACGTGTTCATCGTTCTTAGGACTCCAGCCAGGCAGTCGGGAGTCATCAACCGACGGCAGTTTCGAAGTGAGGATTTTCATTTCTCTCGACCGGCTCACTAAATGGAGGAGGCTGAAGCAGTAGGCAATTGTTGCAAACAATTTCAAATGATCCGCACCACTGTTTCCAGAAAACCAGGCTTTAGCGAGACAATCAGAGATGGCGTAAGTGCCATGATTCACAATAAGGAGCGTCGTATGGCTCGTTGGGCTGAGAACTTTCGAGAGCAGTTCAGTTGTCCTCCAGATAGGGTGGGGCCTTCAAATTAGGCCGTTGCTGTTACCATCGGAATATTGTTTTATAATACTCACTGCAGATTCTTTGTGTTTACAGGAAATACCTTACTCTTTGTTTAACTGAATCAATTTCATTGTTGCCAATGTTATCATACTCAGTTGATGAATTGATTTACATTCGAGACAATGTACGAAAATCGCCTCTTGTTGAATTCGGACACAAGACCAGAAACACTTTCAGAAGAATTATCAAGAAAGCCTTTGGAAAAATAAGAAAAAACATCGTGCTGACTGGAAAGTAGGGCTCAAGCACTGTCCCGTTAAAAAGGCGCAAATTCCGCTGATGCTATCCAGCAATGTACGATCGCTTCTCGGGAAAATTGATGATCTAGCAAACATTTTACAACGAAGGGAATTCATAAATGCAGGTTTAGTGATGCCGCAGGAAACTTGGTTGCATTCTGACATTGATGATGAAGTCCTTAATCTCAATGGTTACCACCACATTAGATCCAATCGCCCAAGAGACCCCAAACGTCGTGGAGGAGTCATCACTTACTTTAACAGATATTGGTGTAAATCCGTTTCCAAATTCTCGGAGTACTCAACGACTTCAATAGGCTGTCACTTATTGGAGTGTAAACCAGTTTCTGAGCGGTTTTCTAACTCTCTTTGTTGGGAATGTGTACGTAGCTCCGGACATGATGTTGTTCGAGTTGCAAAATTTTGCAACAAAAATTAGAATATGCCATCCGTGTTCTCGGCGGAGACTTCAATAGAAGTGACACAACTTTCATTAACACCATGGGTTTAGCCAATTTGGTGAAGTTCCTCACCGGATTCGAGGCGCATTTAGATTTAGTTTTTACTAACAAACCCGAACTATTCTCTACGTAAAAGTGTGCACCTCTTGGTAATTCCGACCATTGCGTAATAAAGCTATCCCCAATCTATACACTAAGGCCAGCTATGTTGCACTGACTGAACTGTTAAACGACGGAACTACTCAGCAGATAACACCGAAAAACTCAAATCAATGCCGTCGTTAACTGATTTTTCAATATTCGAAAATGATGACCTGTCAGAGCGATGCGAGCATCTTACAGACTATTTAAACCTGTTTTGATCTATATTGTTCCATTGAGACAAATTATTTATGAAACGACAGATTTTCATCTCAATTGGTCAAGTAACTGAGGAGGAATAAAGAACAGACTTATAGCCACAGGCTAACTGTCCCTGTTAAACGTGTCCATAGCTATAAAAAGTAAAGTGAAAAGATTAAACGCACTTTACATTTAGACCGTTTTCGGTAACCACAGTTGCTTCGAGGACAACACTCCGGAAAGAATTCTTCCAGCGCACTTATCAATGAGGATGCAGATAAAACTCAACGCTGGATTCAGCTTTTCACCAACTAACACACTCCCTTTGCCTTCTGTTACCATTACTGAGAATCCTTCTTTATCTGCTTCCGCAAACATTTAAGGGGAGCTCAACAGGCTGAACGCAAACAAGACTAGTGGACTGGATGCTCTATCAACAATCGCTCTGAAAGAATGCGCAAATGTTTTAACAACATCTGTAACAGAAGTCTTGAATCGGCACTTAAAGACTGGTGCCATTCCCGACATCAAGAAATCAGCCAGAATAACATCAGTGCCTAACAAAGGATCTCGGAAATGTCGGCCAATTATGTGCACATCCGTGCTCCCAAAGGTACTGGAAAAACTGCTGATCCCCCGCATTTTCACAGGCAATCATACTGATGATGTCAAACAGTTTGCCTATAACCAAAGCGCTCTACACTAGATGGCGTTTCTTATCTGACGCATTTCACTGTGTTAGGTTGGATAAAAATGCAAGGGCGTACGTCTCCTATTTTTTGATTACACCAGTGCTTTTTGGAGCATTGACAGCTCACTACTGCTCAACGGTTTGTTCGAGAACGGCGTCCCTCCATATACGTGTATTGTAGTGTGTCATTACTTCACAAATCGGTATTTTGTACTCCCAGCCAATTGTGGCGTTTTGCAGGGAGCCATCCTGCCCCCCTTTCTATTCACCAACTACATTGAAAGTCTCCCTATTCCATTAAATTTTATAGGCTGTAAATATGCTGATGATGTCGTCCTAAGATGCATAGCCCCAATCATAGACGACTCATCATCATCATCATTATATACGTCAGCTAGAGGTGGGAAACACCTCAGCTACTGTGCCGCAATACATAAAGGAAAAGGAAAATAAATACAAAAGTTGCATGCCAGCTGAGCTACCAGCAACGGATAGGCATTGTTCTGGTAAGCTACCAGCCGGCTACTAGGCAAAAAGAAAAAAATCATTGGGTTTTACGCTAAGAAATTAGATCGCAGGTTGAGGGGGAGGCTAAAAGGGATGGGGAGGGACAAAGAAACTCACAGCAAGAATGCCACTGAGGCCGGCTCCTTGCCATGTCAGCAAGTGTATCCAGCCAAACGTGTTCACCGTCTTTTGGACCCCAACCAGGGAGCCGTGACGCTCCAACCGAGGCCAGCACAGAAGTGAGGGCCT